TACCTTTCTAGCTAATTGGTCAATTTTCTCGCGAACTGTGTCTACTTCAAGTAGCTTGACGTTGAGCCCAAGCGTCCGAGAATCAGTGATCGACTGCAAAGAGACTGGGAGAGAGAAAAAGGCACGTAGAAAAGCGAAATGGTATGGGGTCTTCTGAATAGAACCTAGGGTTTTCAGCCGGGATTGATCCTTTCTCTATAATCTTAAAAGCCTCTTGAACCTATCAAGTGTGATTAACCGTCGATACACAGTTGGGATTGCTCATCGGGACGTACTGCTTGACGTGATAAATTCTTTTCTTATTTCTTGATCGTCTGAAACCTTTGGAGGAGGCGACAAATCAACTGTCAGATGTTATCATACAATCAATATTTTCATACTAATATTAGCATTAAACAGCCGACGTTGAAATAATAACAGGATAGACATATATTTGTACAATACGCGAGGCGCAAATCCCTACCACACACACACACACACACACACACACACACACACACACACACACACACACACACACACACACACACACACACACACACATAGATGTACAAAGATACATCGATTAATGCGCATTTGATTAATGCGTTTTCGATTAGTGGACTAAATTCGATTAATGTATGCATAATACTTGATTAGTGCCTTAAAACATTTTATAAGCATAGTAATTGAAAACTGAATTTTTATAGTTACTGATGCATCAATCGATATATATATATATATATATATATATATATATATGGATGTGTGTGTGTGTGCAAATATGTAGAAAAATAGGAAAGAACATGTTAGGTAAATAATCCGAAGTTCTTTAGTATTTTTTTTTTATTTTTTAAAAACAGTGCTCCATACAGAATTAGAGCTTAAATTATAATTATTTTTTATAATTATTTTTAAAAAAACATGATTCCTTTGCATGATTTTTTTTCAGTGAAGGAATCATATTTTTAAAAAATAATAATAATAATAATAATAATAATAATAATATATATATATATATATATATATATATATATATATATATATAAGCCATACTACGGGTTGACCTAAAATTTGTGAGTGAAATTGGGTAGCCGGAACTCTTGAGGGTCGTGATAACTGTGCTAGCACACAGCGACATGTCAGCGTGTCCGAGGGGTTGAGCGTGCTGGCCTAGTTCAAATTGCTGGTCAAGCTAGATAACATGCTCTCTCCCAGCTACGCTCTGCTCACCATGGTTGCAGTATAGAATACAGGTTGGCTATGTGGGTGTTGAGCAAACAAAATGCCTGAACAATCGACTGCAATAAGCAATGGCTAGTAGAGGTATATATATATATATATATATATATATATATATATATATATATATATATATATATATATATATAATATGTGTGTGTGTGTGTATTAATAAATATGTATATTATTCCTCACTGCTAGCACAAATCATGCACTCAACAGCATGACACAACTTAGTACGAACTGACTGTTACAAGATTTTGAATATAATATATCTGGTTATCACAGTGTCGGCTTAGTTATATATTATGCTGGGATTACAGTTGTTTTTTCTAATTTTCAAAGTTTTAAATTATATTTTGCAGTTAAAATGAGTGGAATTTATATATGTATCTAAAAAAAAAAAAATTAAAAAAATATATATATCTGAGTGAGAAACATTCATATTTTTTAATTATATAATTAAAGGGAGATTATTTGATCTTATTAATAGTTGAATATATATTTAATAGTAATATATTAAAAAGAAACCGAAATTAGCATTAAAATAACAATTAAAACTAAAAAAATAAAAGTAAAAGTTAAAAATTAAAAATAAAAATAAAGATAAAAATTAAAAATTAGAAATAAATCTAAAACTGAAAAAAAAATTATTTTTATGCCTACGTGTACTCATCAATTCATTTTCTTTTTTTAATAAGTTAGGGTTAAGTGTTTTAAGATAACCAGCTTTTCTACAAGACATAAAATGCATTTATTTCCTTTACCGTTATAAGACTTAGCCCTACATACAATTTCCCAGTTGATTGATTGTTAGCTTCCATCATGTTTTAATTGGCAGAAATATTTGGAAAGAGCAGTCTTGTTTTTATATTTTAAATCATTTAAGTTCATTCTATGATTGTAAAAACAAAATTTCAAAGCATTTTCCGTGGAACCAAAATAAAATTTAACATCGTTACCGGAATGTATGTTCGCTCGGTATATAATATTATCGATTATACATTGACCGTTTAAGGGACAGATCGTATTTTTACGGCAGTTGCATTTATTTTTAGAAAAAAATTACGTTGTCTTTGTTGGACATATATCTGTTTAATATAATTTAATATAATGCTGTTATGATGGGAGATTGATGTGCCTTTGTTGTTAACGTAGCTATAGCTGATCGTAACATTGTTTTTATTAAAAAATCTTTTTTAGTGTTGGTCAATGATTAAAATTATTATAGATTAAATTTGAAAAATTCTTCCGATGTTAGTTACAAGTTTACTTCTATTTTAGGCCTTCTCATTTTCACTTCCTAAATTACCCAACATGACAAATAATGATCCAAAAAGCAAACCTAAACCAGCTCTTAAAAATCATCTAAACCCTTCAACATTTCCTTTTCTAACGTCCGTGGCATTCGAACCAACTTCTGCAGTGTGGAGTCGTTCCTCTCTGAGAAGCCTCCCGATATACTTGCTCTTTGCGAGACCAACGTCAACTCGTTTATCCCCTCCTCTGACCTTTCGATTCCCGGTTATCTTCCTTTCCTTAGAAAAGACTCTCAAACCCACATGCACGTCCTTGTCCTTTAGGTCAAAGACCATCTCCCACTGGCTAGAGAGCTCTCTTTCGAATCTCCAGACCACTCATACTTGTGTCTCAGTTTATCTCTCCCCAATGCTGTACACTACCTCTTCATCCTCTATCGCTTCCATATTCTCAAGACAGTGACGTACTCGAAAGCATTTCCGACACTATAGAAGGTTTGTTCATATATTCGTGTTCGGACACTTTAACGCCCACTTTGCCAAGTGGCTTAAAACTCTATAACTGACCTTTCTGACATACAAACCCTTAACTTTTCTATTTCTCAATCTCTCACGCAAATAGTTGATTTCCCCACACGTTTCCCCAACAACCTGGGCGGTAACGCTTCCCTTCTCGATCTCTATTTCACCTCCATCCCCTTGCCCTGTCTCGACTCGCAGTCCTGCCCTCTTGGCAACTCTGATCATTATCTGTCAAAATATACTTATACTCCACCCCAGCAAAGAAGCTCCTACTAACAGAACGTCTTTCTGTTATCAACGAGCAGACTGAGACTCGTTTCGGAATTTCCTTCGCGATGTCCCCTAGGATGTGGTCTTTAAGCTCCTCGTTCAAGAATGCGCTTCCGAGGTTTCCTCCTGGGTAAAAGCTGGAATCGAGGCTTTCGCCCCCAGTAGGAAATATAAGATTAAATCGCGCTCATCCCCTTGGTTCTCTGCTGCTTGCTCAGCTGCCATTGCCCACAGGAATCATTTTACCGCCTATATCGTAGTGACATGTCAGATTGCAACAGACGTCTCTTTGTCTCAGCCCGTGAGTCAAAGCGTGTCCTCAATGAAGCAAAGTCACTATTTGCTGATAGAATGAAACAACGTATTGCATCTCGCAAATACGGCGCCAAGTATTATTATCGTCTCCGCAAGAGCGTACTTAACAACAGCAAAGCTTCAATGCCTCCTTTGTTCAACCAATTTGAGGTCCTGACCTCCTCGGCTGATAAGGCTGAGTGCTTTGCTCGGAAATTCTCTTCCAACTCAACGCTTGACTCATCCGATGTAGGTGGAGATGGGATACCAGCCATTGTCCTGAAGAAATGTGTTCCTGAACTAACCCCTGCCCTCTCCAAATTATATAACTACTGCGCCAATGAGTCTTGCTTTCCAGCCTGTTGGGAGTCCTCATCTATTGTACCTGTTTTTAAGAACTCTGCAGACCCTTCTGACCCATCTAACCACCGTCCTATCAGTCTCCTACCACTCGTCGGCAAAGTCTTTGAAGCTTTAATCAACGCCGAAGTGGTTAATCACCTTATATCCCATGATCTGCTCTCTGATAAGCAATATGATTTCTACTTTGCCCATTCTACAGCTAATGTGCTCACGGCCATAACTGAAATTGTTTACTTAACAATAACGGAGAAGCTCGTGCTGTGGCTCTAGATATATCTAAAGCGTCTGATAGGGTCTGGCATGCTGCCCTCCTTCGTCAGCTGAAGGCATACGGAATTTCAGGCCAATTATTTGACTTGATGCAATCATTCCTGTCAAAGCGTGTAATGAAGGTCGTCCTTAACGGATTCTCCTCCAGTTCCTTTCCCACGAACGCAGGTGTTCCTCAAGGCTCTATCCTGGGCCCTACTCTGTTCCTTATCTTCATTAACGATCTCCCCGATGTTATCAGTTCCCATGTAGGCATCTATGCTGAGGAAACTACTATTTACTCCTGCCTCAATAGCAAGTCTGGTATCGCTGACAAAACAAACCTGGGCGTTAGTCTCGAAAAGGACCTCAAATCGGTTGGAAACTGGGGCAGGAATTAGCTGGTTAACTTTAATGCTGCTAAAACAAAACTGCTGTCTATTTTCTACCACGGGGAACCATCCCTGCCGCCCATTAGAATGTCTGATGCTCAACTCCGCGGGAGCACATCTCTGCGACTTCTTGGTCTCACACTGTCAGCTGAACTGAGATGGAACAATTACATTGAATCAATTGCTTTATCCACCGTAAGCAAAGATGGTTCCATGTGTCGCGCCAGAAAGTTTTTCGCGCCCGAGTCCATCCTTCAAATCTATAAATCAACGATTCACCCTTGAACGTAATACTGCTGCTATATATGGTCTGGTGCCCCCGCTATTCGCCTTAAGGTTCTCGACAAAATCCGGAGACGGATATGCAATGTAACTGTTCCTGATCTGTCATCTCTCTACCTTCGCTCGAGATGTGATTCGCAACAGAGATATGGTTCGCAACAGAGTCGAGTTTCGCAACAGAGATGTGATTCACAACAGAGATGTGATTCGCAACAGAGGTGTGATTCGCAACAGAGATGCGGTTCGCAACAGAGTCGTGTTTCGCAACAGAGATGTGATTCACAACAGAGATGTGCTTCAAAACAGAGCTGTGATTCGCAACAGAGATGCGGTTCGCAACAGAGTCGTGTTTCGCAACAGAGTAGTGTTTCGCAACAGAGATGCGGTTCAAATAACAGAGTCGTGTTCCGGTTCAACAGAGATGTGTTTCGCAAAGAGTAAGATGCAGAGATTTGCAACAGAGTCGTGTTTCGCAACAGAGATGTGATTCGCAACAGAGATGCAATTCGCAACAGAGTCGTGTTTCGCAACAGAGGTGTGATTCGCAACAGAGGTGTGACTCGCAACAGAGATGTAACTGGACGGAATGAGAATATCATAGCCGGAGTATGTGAGCAGCAAGTAAGTTTTAATGAAAATGGAAACTAAAAGAACACCTGCATTTAGAATCCGAAAGAGACAGTTCAAATTTCTAGAACACATAATGATGAAAAAGGGCTTGGCGAATTTGGCACTCCCAGAGCATTTTGAATGCTTTGAGAAGCAAAGGGAAACAGCAAGTAGCTCAGGAGATAAAGGGATTGCAGGGCAGAAAATGAAATGATAGTAAACAGACGAATATATCTTAGAGCTTTAAAGGTGAGGTAGATGTGGAGAGCCACCATAGTCCACGTCCTAGAGGGACACGACCCGTAAAAGACGAAGAAGAAAATCTCGAGAGTTACATATTTAATGATTTAATAGGCTCCGTGTTTTGTTTGTCTTCGCATCCTTTTTTTAGAAACATCGAATAGACCAAAATAAATACGATTTGTTGGACTCCATATTGTGTTCGTCTGCTGTGCATGGTTCTTTTTTTCTTTTTTCGACAACAAAGACTGAAAGAGATGTGTAAGTCTTTATTCTTTTCTTCCTGATTCTTTTCTTTCTCGAAGCCTCGATACCGCATTAGGTCTATAAATTAGGCGGAAAAAATAAAGAAGTTAATAAACAGTGAAAATGGAAGAAGCCATTCAGTTTGTAAAGAGACTTCATTAGCACCTTTTCACAAATACGCTCTCTTTCAGATTCCACTGACTTAGGCTTTATTCTTTTGATATTAATAGGAGATATTTTCGGACTGCTATCACTTTCAAAATACACTTATAAAGAGAACACAGACACCCGTACATGGTGGCGAGAGAAAGATAAAGAAAGATATCTTTATATTCTTTTAAATAAAGGGAAATTAAAAAAATAGAAGTATATTTACGTACAAATATGCGAGCAAGTGTATAGTTTTCTTGCGTGTTGAGAGACTTCAAGGCTTGGTCGATCATGCTTCTCCACAAGCTACTGTCATTATAGCTCTTAACAACGTTTGTATGTTTGCCAAGAATTCCATCAGCCGTTCCGCCGTCTATTCACACAAGCCCGTCAGGTTTGTAGCCCGCTTCTTTCCCTCGTCCTGTTGCCATTGATATGCCTTGTAAGTATCAAATTCTTCAAGTATTCCTTCCTCATTATGTATCCCAGAAATTTCAGTTGTCTCTTTCTGATTCTGGTTAAAAAAATGTCCTTTCTGATATTATTTTCCTGTCCACATTGTTGCATTCGTTAGATAAATCGGAAAATTGATTGATTGCCTGTTCTAATTTAACAGCATACAAACTCTGCTGGTTACTAAAGACCGAAAAATATTTTCTTAGAGATATGAATTGTAAATAATCCTCTGATTCATTGCTTCCATCACTCTCCAAATATGTGACTTTGGAACGGAATTATTTAGTGCTATAACGTGTGCTATAGACCAAATACAGTCAACCTAATTAATTCGTTTTCAACGGATTATCAACCCTTTGCAGGTTATTTAAAGTCAGAAAATCTTTTTTAAATTGTAGTATTTGTTTTTTGAGATAATGATTTAAAGATAGAAGTCTTATGGCATAACCCAGAGCTGGAGAAAAGGAGACGTGGATTCATGCCTTTCCTCAGTGTATGTGCGCGTTAGTGACTATAATAAAGCCAATTGGAGTTCGAACTCGGCTCTCCGAGTAACAATTCCGAGTAATTATCTATAAAAAAAAACCTACCCACCCATCCAAGCTTAGAGCACCGGGTATTCTCATGCGGTCATCTATCTAGTTTCTGAACAGGTTCGACGCGGTTTATCTTCGGTGATCGTACGTGAAACGGTGTTTTAACGTGATACGGACGTATGCCGCAAATCCCTTCAAATAAAATAGGATAATCTCTATTTTTATCCCCTTGAGTAGGTCCTCGAGATAAGTCAGGTTCGACGTATTATGGCAAGGTCACCACAACTGGTTAGAATTGTTACAATTTTTGGATACATTATTTAACTAGTGAGCTAGCCCAAATGACTTGACTCACTTTATAGCCCACCAATAGAAGGTTAACCAATCAGAAGACGTAGAATATTCAATCCGTCGTGTATAAAGGCGGCCATTTTGTTTTACTCTATCCGAATGTCCAGTCCGGCTTGTCAGGCGAATAGGAACAGAAGGAAGAACTACGCTCTTCTACTTTTACCGGGATATCCACTGATAACCTGAAATAAGCTTACCTACTGTCTTCGAAATATTCACTGCTAACCTCTGGATTCTATACTCGAAGACGACCGTCATCATGAACAAGAGTATGTTTTCTCTCCTGATATATCGTGCATTTTGGATAATGTTTAGTTTTGAAGGAGAAATAAATGAGGGATAAGGGCGTGGCTTATTCTGATATGTTTAGATCAGGTCAAGGCTGACATCGAGGGAAGCAGCTTGTCGTTTATGGAAATGCTTGGTTGCATTAACCCATACATATTTATACCGACTACAACGATTTTATGAGTCAGTAAACTGAAGATGTAAGGTCATAGAACTAACAATAATATTCTATTCATGCGTCTATTATACTTAAACTCGTTACATTCAAGCAATGTTTCCTCTTTCAGCCCACTGACATTACATCTACACTTAACACTATCTCTTTTCTATGGCAGATGTACAGACGAATTTCAATTCTTAATATCACAGCATTAGACAAAGAAAGCGCCAAGACGCCGTTACCGAATTAAATCATTCTCATTCCATTCGTACTTCATTTATAATCAGGAAGTTCTATCCAGACAGTTCCCTGAGACCATTAATTTGTGGAACAGACATCAGAGAGAACGCTTCCCCGATTACCCTAATCTCAACCTCTTCATGTCTAGGATCAACCATTATTTATACTTTCATAATCTTCACTTACCTCCTTCTCTTACAGCCATACAAAACTTCATTAAGTAACACTCTAGATTGAGTGGCTCTTGGGTCTTTTATTGGGTGAACTTTTAGAAAAAAAGTACAAAATAAAGACTTTTCTATGTCGTTCTAACTATTTCTTTATCACTATTATCTAGGTGCACCCCAAAAAACGCTAAAAAATCAGCATAATGTGATGAAAACATTCTCCAAACGTAATGAAAACTTAGTTTTATCGTCAAAATCTTTGTTATTATTACGAGTAAGGATCAAAGTATTTTTTGAATATTTAATTAAATTTTTTACTCCTTTTTAGAACATACGAAATTTTGATTAAAAACTTGTTTTTCTTGCGTCAGCGATTGTACTGACTTTTAGCATAACAAATTTTAGCCTCTTTTTTTGTGGTGACAGACACATTAATTTGAAAATTTTTGCAAAAAATCAAGTAATTATCGGATTTTAATTAAAATTTCAGGATCTGTTCACAAATGAATGAATTTATTTTCGATTTTTTTTATTAGAAAATCTTGATAAAAATATGTTTTACATGTTTTTCACCCTCTTACTTAATTTTCTAAAAACTTGATAAATTCAACGTGATAACTTTTAGTCTATAAAAGCAGAATTATTTTAAGAATTTAAATTAGAGATTTTCTTTTCACAAAATCGGACTCCGGTTTACCAAAAATCTGCTCTGAATCGAAAAATAAAAAATGTAATTAAAGTCTTACATTATTTAATTAGAGAGGCTTTTAATTGCTTTTATGAATAATATGTATTAAAGAAAATATTGTCCAAAGAAAAAACTTTTCGATGAAAAATGAATTTTTACAAAATTTGCTTTCATTTATTATTTATTATTTTTACAAAATTTGCAAAAGTTTTTTTTTTAATTTTTAAAATTCAATTTCAATGTAGTATCTCTTAGAAAACATAGTTATTAAGTAAAATTATATTTAATAATCATATATTGTAAAGCTTATTACAATCTGATGACCCCGAATATTTTTAAAAAGTATTTCGAATTTTGCCTAATTTACCGTACCATAGATTGAACATGTAAGCAACAACGTCGTAGTTTTAGAGAAAGTTGTAACGAAAAGGGAACTTAATATCAAGAAGAGACAGTTGAAATTTCCTGGGCATATTAAGGAAAGACGGATTGGAAAATTTGATACTCACAGGACAGATTGAAGGTATGGGGTACAGGGGGGAAACAGTGCGTAACTTAGTGAGTCTGTCTATATTTCTCTGTGCCTTGTGTCCTCAAGGACACATGGCTCATTGGATAAAGGCGTTGGTTAGATCCAGTGACAGGACCCAAAGAGTGTGAGTTCAATACCCGGTTCAGGTAGCGGAGAACTTTCAGAGGGAAATTAACAGGAGATAACTAATAACTGACATCCATCAAACATGGCACGTGGAACTAGAACAGTCTACCCCAGTGAGCGAAACAAAGGGTTCAGTTCGACATTCCAACCACCTGAAGAAGGCCGGAGCGTACAACGGCCGAAACGTTGTAATGAATATGGCGACAAAGATGAGGACAGTAGTCCGAATAATGTAAATAATGTAAAGTTACTTAGTGAGCTTGAGTAAATGGATGTCAGACCAAGGTTTAGGAGAGATAACAAAAAGACAAAATTTATTAAGAGCTACAAAGAACGGGAAATTGTGGCGAGCCATGATCGCCTAAGTCCTGAAGGGACACGGCACATCGATGAAGAAGAAGAAGAAGGCACACTCGAACAAGGCCCTTTCATCCCCACCATTACGCTAGGTCTCTCAAAAGGTACTTAGAGAGAAAATCGAACTCGCTATATTTACATCTGTGAAGGGTCTGCGAGATTAGCATGACGGCTATTACGCCAAGCATCTTCATTTGCAATTATGAGTTCAAATGAGTGCTGATTATCTAGATTCTACAAACTGATGACTTATTGAAGTTTGCCATAAGAAAGCTGCGCGGTTTTAATTTTGATATTTCAAACTGCACCTTTTACGCATGCGCAATTAGGCCATAGCATATGAGATTTTAGATGTTTCGATTTTTCTAATTAGCAATAATTTCCCAATGCTAATGTGTTTACTGTCGTCTTGGCAGTTTCCCTATCTCCATTAAACTATCACATGACTCTCTCACAATACGTCATTCTCTCTCTCTCCCTCTCTCTCTCTCTCATTCTGTCATTCTGCAGGTCTCCTTTTATTTTGTCTCTCTTAGAGTTCATACTACTTGTATTGTGAAGTGTTCTTTTTCTTTCTCTCTCCTTCTTTCTTTCTTTATTTCTTTCTTTCTTTCTCCTTGCTTGTACCTACTTTCTTTTTTTGTAACATCTTTATTTATTGCTTCTTACTTTCTTTTTTCTTTCTTTCTTTCTTTTTGCGTTAGTTTTATTTATTCCGCCTTCATTTTTTCTTTCTTTCTTTCTTTCTTTCTTTCTTTCTTTCTTTCTTTCTTTCTTTCTTTCTTTCTTTGTGGTTTCTTTCTTTCTTTGCGGTTTCTTTCTTTCTTTCTTTGCGGTTTCTTTCTTTCTTTCTTTGCGGTTTCTTTATTTATTTATTCCACCTTCAGTCTTTATTTATTTATTTCTCTTTCTTTTTTCTTTTTTGCGGTATCTTTGTTTATTGGTTCTTTCTTTCATTCTTTATTACATCTTCTTTCTTTGTTTTTGCACCCTCTTTCTTCCTTTCTTTTTTCTTCTTTCTTTCTTATTGTGCTATCTTTCTTTCTTTATTTCGCCATCTTTCTTCTTTTCTTTTACGTTCTTTCTTTTTTATTTATTTATCTATTACACATTGTTTCTTCCTTTCGTTTTTACGCATATTTTCTTTCTTTATTTCTTGCTTTTATTCTTGCGTCTTCATTTTTTCTTTCTTTATTTCGTTCTTGTGCATTTTTTTTCTTACTTTTCTTATTTCTTTCGTTCTTGTGCCTTCATTTTTTTTATTCGTTTGTTCTTTCTTTCTTCTGTCTTCTTTCTATTTTCTTTCTTCCTTCCTTCCTTTCTTTCTTTCTTTCTTCCTTTATTTATTTCATTCTTGTACATTCTTTCTTTTTTCCTTTCTTTCTTTCTTTCACCTTCTTTCTATTTTCTTTCTTCCTTCCTTTCTTTCTTCCTTTCTTCCTTTATTTCATTCTTGTACTTACTTTCTTTCTTTTTTCTTTCTTCTGCCTTCTTTCTATTTTATTTCTTTCTTTATTTCATTCTTGTACTTTCTTTCTTTCTTTTTTCTTTCTTCTGCCTTCTTTCCATTTACTTTCTTTCTTTCTCACATTGACCGAGTGACAAAATTGCTTAATCATTCATCCTGTCATTTTCATTTGTTAATCATAATCCATAATTTTTGTTGTCCTACTTCACTTACACATTCAGCAAAAGTTTCTCTCTCTCTCTCTCTTCCTTTCTATTTCTCACTCACTTTCTCTACTTTTCATGTTTGCTTCCTGTCGGTCATCTGACTAGTGTCACATTTCATCCGTACCCATGAAAAACCTAATATCCTCCCGCAACCCCATTTTTCTTTTAGTGGCACCGCGCCCACACGCACACCTCGTACGCATCCTAGTGAAGTTCATCTTTCTATTTTGCTTTTATTTGCGGTAGTCGTTAGAAACTCTCGAACCAAAATATGTTGTGAAAATCGGTAAGGAAAAGGTGGAGAGATATATACCGGGTGTAACAACAAAATTGTCCAATTGTTACTGTTGTATCTTAGAAATGATTAAAGATATTTTACTGGACTTATCTGAGGTTTTTATAACACTATTGGACTCAATTTTGAACAATAAGAATGTATTTGGCTCTAAGTTGAAACGATGATCCCCCTTGCTGTTCTGACCTCCTAATCCAGTATTCCTCCCGACGGCTCTCTTTATTTTAAACTTATTCACCGTTCTCTTGGTGTTTCTTGAATGGACTTTGAAGATGGAAGTCAGAGTGTAAATATTGGTACCATTACTGTAGGCCTGAATGATCTTTTTCCTCTCATCATTGCTCAGCTGGGAAGACATAGTGGAGCTGACACAAAATGATTTTAACCTGTTCTCTTTCAAGTTGAATATTTTCAAGTGATTCTTATGACAAAGGATGTCAAGATGGCAAAATGTCTTATCTAAAAACCCGGAAAAAGGGAACACAATTAATTTATTGTGTGTGTGTGTGTGTGTTTTGTTTTGTTTTAGATATTAAATATTTTGTGTGATGAACAATTATCACATGCTGTTACACGATTTGGAAAATTTTGCTGTTACATCTAGTATGTTAAAAAAAAATTAAGACATCTTATATTATAACTGACCCACCAAAAGACGTCAGTATATATGTGAACAAATGTAGAAATTATTTGAAACAAATACATCTGTTCAAACTGGGGGTTATTTAGAAATGATAATATGAATGCGGAGAAAAAAAAAAAAAAAAAAAACAGAGATGAAGGTCACGAGTTCGATTTCTAGAATGAGCAGTGAAATCAGAGTTAACCCATATTAAAGATTTCTAGATGACCAAAGATTTCTAGATGATTTCTAGACTTGACACGTGGAACAAGAGCAGTCTGCCCCAGCGAGCAAAATAAAGGCTTCAGTTCAACATTCCGACCACCCGAAACGTTGTGATAAATATGGCGACAAAGATGAGGACAATAGTCCGAATAACATAAATAGGGTACATTCGATACCAACAAAAAAAAACAAACAAACAACTTTCCCTCATCACCGAGCAGTTCATGGATCTCCGATCCATTACTAAAGATGTTGGAAAAATGGTCAGTTTTCTATAACGTATGAGTAAGTACCTGACTCCTTCTGTTATCTTCTACGTTTACAAAAAGCCAGATCAGGCCAAAAGTAGTGTACTACTTTCATATCTAGACTGTAGTTGCCTAGTCTTTACTTTTGACAGTCCAAAGGCTGCTACGTTGCCTTGTGGATGATGAATTATTTCTCCCCACGACTTTAACTACTTCTCCATAGACGAAACATTGCAAAGCACTCACTACTCTATTCGATAGAAAATTTTCAAACTAGTTACATTCCTTAGTTCTACCAGTTTTAAACATCAAGTCTACGATCAACATGACACTAAGACTAATGTCCTTTTATATTCCATTCATTCTACTCATACGAATTGTTGCTTTGTGAAATTGACTCACAATTTTATGCTTACTCGACCAATACAATCCTAACCTGTTCATGTCTAGATTTATCTTTCCCACATGGTCTTATAAACCGCTCCTCTTATAAACTCTTTCTACATAGAGTGGCTCTCCAGGAGATCAAACTTTATGCACCTTCTTAGTCTCAAGTTTTCTACAGGCATGAGGTAGAATGATTAACTTGAATCTATTGCTAGGTCTGTTATTAGGAAAATTGGTTCACTGTGTCGTGTCAGGCAGTTTTTCTTGCTAGAATCTATCTTGCATATTTATAAGTCTATTATTCGTCCTTGCTTTGAATATTGCTGCCACATCTAGTCTGGTGCTTCGGCTGTGTATTTACAGATCCTTCATTAAAGAAGAATCAGTAACATCATTGGTCCTGATCTGACACTTTACCACTGCTGTGACTTTGTTTCCCTGTGTCGTTTCTATAATTATTTTTATAGCAATGGTTCCAATGAGCCTTACATCTTGATACCACAGCCGAATGAATTTCAGCCTATTGCTGGATGGTCAGATAGGTCTCATCATTTTATATTTGAAATAACTAGCTCTAACCGTAACCTTTATTCTAATAGTTTATTTACTTGCCCATGGGACTCCCTTGAAGTTTCATGCTTCCCTTCAACCTACAGTCTTCAAGAAATTAAACGCGACATCAATCGGCATCTTTTGTCTTCCTCAAACCTGTTCTTTTATTGTCCTTTCTCCTCATTAATATCTTCATATGTTCTAATCAACCCTTTGCATCTTAGTGGAATTATTACCTTCCAAGGGAGTGAAGTGATTTAAATAAAGGACAGATGAAAAGTAGATTTGAATATTTTCACCCCAAACAAGGTAATAAAGCCATTAAGGCAGAAGGCGTTACTGAGTATGATAGAATATGAAAAAAGAAAAAAAACCTCTTAAGGGAGAAGACAATAAAAGAACTGGAATTAAGAGCAAAAAGGTAACAATTGACAATGCATTTAAATTTTTGAAGATCAAAGTTGACTGGGAAGCAAGAAGCCAGAAGAGAGTTCTACAACCGAGAAGTGCAAGAGAAGAAACTGTTAGAATAGAAATTACGGTTACATCCAACCATTTCAACTGTAAAATGATGAGACCTTTCCGCCAATCTAGTACTGAGCTTAAATTCATAAAATCTAGGTACTATAGAAAAAAGTTCGTGAGAACAATTACTATGAAAGTATTTATAGAAAAGGCACGGGAAAGCTACATTACGACGGTGGGAAAGCCCCTGAAGCCGATACGCCATGTCAGGACCAATAACATTGCAGATTCTTCTTTGGATTTTATAAATAATCTCTTAATATATAGCTGAGGCACCAGATCGTATGTAACAGCAATATTCGAAGAATGGGCGTAGGTAGATTTATAAATAGATTCGGCAGAGGAAAATTGTCTTGCACGGCACAGTGAACCAAATTTCTAAGGAAGCAGACCTAACAATTGATTTGATACAATTTTTTCATTTCGTGTCAGTGAGAAAAAAAAAAGATAAAAAAAAGAATGAACAAAGAAGAGAGAAAACAAAAGTTTCCTGCCCGTTTGTCACAACAAAGGAACTTAGCTAAGCGATCGGAATTTAAACTACAAGAATAAAGAGAAAACACTACATCAAATACGATATAGATCACAACTCTTTTCCCCCTCTCTGTATATATATATATATATATATATATATATATATATATATATATATATATATATATTATCACTTTGCACCTCTATATCTATATCTATCTATATGGTTAAAATATTGCCGAAGAAATGAATTGACAAGTACCATATATGTTATGTTTTGTGATTACACCTGTTTCGAGTAGACATTCACTTTTTTAACATTGAAGTAAATGTCAACCGCTGAGGCATAGAAAATCTCATGTGCTTCACGCGATGATTTGGATCTGTATCCTATTTTATTCGAGGAAACCACTTTCAAGCCATGTGTGTTTTACCATTGTGCCATGAGAAGCCATCACAGCAAAGCAAAATTAATTTACACTATTGAAGTAATGCACATCTTTTGTTATGATAGATTCCCGTCGCTTCTCCCAACTACTGCGAGTCTTCGTCGCTACATTATCGAAAACGGAATGAGCAAAAAGCGACGTTTTGGCACATTGCTCAGCTAATCCTTCGCTAGTTATTTGCAATGAAGACAGACGCAGATAATGTGGTACGTGGTGCTCTCATTAACCACACCCAGTGGGGTGTAGAGAGAAGATAAATGCGCCTTAAGATCAGCCTTTGGGGCTTGTGATCATAAAACCATCAGCCGTTGAACGTCAATATTTATGGTAAACATGCGAGAGAGATGGCATCGAATTCGGCAGTTCCTGCCCGTTTGTCACAACATTTCCTGACAAGAAAAAAAAAACAACAAAGAGATGCAGGGAAAACAGTTTCAATTATGAATAGAGTTTTTCTAGGTAGAGAAGATCTCGTTTTAGCAGCACATTATGACAAAGGAACTTTGCTAAGCGAGCGGATTTTAAACAGTACAAAATAAAGAGTAAACACTATATCAAACACGATATAGATCACAACTCTCTTTCACTCCCCCTCTCTCTCTCTCTCTCTCTCTCTCTATATATATATATATATATATATATATATATAGGTAACTACACTCGTCTCGGAAAACCTTCGGTTTCTTGATTTGCTAATGGTCAAATCAATTTCGAAGGAAAAAAGGTTTAAAAAAAAGAAAGAGCTAAGAACATGAACGTCAGCTTTCCTGACGATCCGCTTAGGTGAAACCTTGGTAGGTTTGTCTAGGTGTTTGGCATATAGGTATATATATATATATATATATATATATATATATATATATATATATATATGCGTGTGTGTGTGTGTGTGTGTGTGTGTGTGTGTGTGTGTGTGTGTGTATCGGGTGTAACAGCAAAATTGACCCAATCGTGTAACGGCAAAATTGTCCAACTATCAGATTTGCTTTGAAACGTTTTACCTTAGAAATGATTAAAGATATCTTATTGGAATTCTCCGAAGTTTTTATAACACTACTGAACTCTACTTTGAGCAATAAGAATGTATAATTACTCTCTAAGCTTAACAGAAGAATCGTGGTGAAATCGATCATAAATTAATCATAGCTAAG